CCCCCCCCCCCCCACGCGCCCATGTAACGTCACCCGTTGGCGTTGGCACAGCTGCCCGAACTTGACGACTGCGCCCTGCACCCTGTCGCGTGACGTTGGGCGTCACACCCTGTCGACGCTTCGTCGTTCCGATTTTAAACCTGCTACCGTCTTGGGGAGCTGCCTGTTTTTATATTTCTGCTCTTCCGTCAGTGAGTGTGCGCGTGCGCGCGTGTCTGTGTGTCTGTGTCTGTGTGTGTGTGTTGGGACACTTTTGTTGACCTCAGTTTTTTTGTTGGCTCGTGTAAATTGCCCCCTGTGACACTGGGTGGGGGGGGGGCCCGCTTGGGGGGGGGGGGGGGGGGGGGTCAGAGCACAGTCAGGAGGTCTTCGTGGCCTTTTTGGCATCAGGCGGGCAGGGAGGTTTGATTTTGCCAGCCAGTTGGCACCTGGCGCACCCTTCCTTGCCCTCTCTGCCCGTCCCCCAGCCCCACCTCCCCAGATGATCCTGCACCCCCTTGGCAGTGGCCTTGTCCCTGTGAAGATCAACAGTGCGATTCATTGGCCACTGACGACTCGACTGTTTCAACCTCATCTCTGGGAAATTCCTCATTCATTAGCTCGACTGCCTCTGTCACCCTCCTCCAGCCCCCTACACCCCCCTCCCTATCTCTATAGCCTCCTCCCCCCCCCCCCCCCCCCCCCCCCTTCTGCCCCCCCCTCCAGCCCCTACACCCCCCTCCCTATCTCTATAGCCTCCACTGGCCCCTACACCCCCTCCCTATCTCTGTCATGCCCTCCAGCCCCCTACACCCCCTCCCTATCTCTGTCACCTCTTCCAGCCCCCTACACCCCCTCCCTATCTCTATTACTCCACCCCAGCTCCTCTCACGGAGGTGGGCAACATGCTTTTCTGCTTTTCTGACCTTTTTGCCCTGCCTTGCCCCTCTTTCCCCCCCCCCCCCCCCACCACCCCGATCCCACATTGTTACCTGCCCCATCCAATCCTGTTTCCCAATCGCTTGAGAGCCTGGCTCCTCTCTGGACAGACCTGCTGACCCTCCGTCCTCGATCTCTGATGGGGCCCACCCTCTGGTACGTCGGGAGGCCAGTCAGCACAACGCTCCGAATGAAAGCATTTCTTTCCCAACGATGTAACCTCCACCCCACCCCCGACCCCCATTCCCCCTTCTCCACCCTCGGACTGTGCCCATCCCCTATGTGACGGCTTTCTCTGTTGCTATGATGGAGCATCTGTACTCCAGCCCTGGGTGGGGGTGAGATGTGAAATCTGCGGAATGGAGGTGGGTGGGGGGCAAATATTCCGAGGGAGCGACGGATGAGAAAGCTGGGGGAGCGAGGATTGCGTGTGTGCGTGTGAGTGAGAGAGAGAGAGAAGGAGACGTGCTGGTGTGTCCGTGTGGCTCTGTCGTCGAGAGCATGGGTGGCAGAGAAGGGTGACCGCGGTGTATCTGACCCTCCGACCTGTCGCTATCCTTGCTGCCTCAGTTCCTTCCTGTGGCGTTTGTCATCAGGAGTGTGGCCGGTCGTTTCTTCAGGAGCTTTGTGCCCAGTGCCAAGCGCCCATCGCTGCTTTTGGAGTGCTGCATGTGTGCGCGCCTATGTGTGTGTGTGTTGATGAGGGGAGAGAGAGAGAGAGAGTACCCCTAGTCCTGCAATGCCTAGCAGCTGGCACCCTTCAGAGGATGGTACCACACCACTTCCTCCTCTCCCCTCCCGAGACTGTGCTGTACTGTCATCTTCGGACTGAGATATCACTTTGTTTCTTGTGGAAAAGACAATTCAGATTTTTTTTTTCCTGTCTCTCTCTTGAAACGTAATTTAAAAGGAAACTGCTACCCTTTTGGGGGCTGATGGGTGAATAAAGCATTGGAATTACTGTGGCAAAGGAACTCCTGGCCCCTGTTGAGATTTTGTACGTGTTCGAGTGTTCTCGAGCCTGTGTCTGGTGTTCCCAGTTGTTTTACGGGCTGGGATTCTGACTAATTTTTTTGTTTTATTTCTGTATGGACTTGCCCAGCTTGTCCCTAATTGCTCCCCCTACAAGTGACTGGCTTTCTCGAACCATTGTAGAGGCCATTTGTTGGGTGGGTGGGTGGGGGGGTGGTGTCTGGAGTCACGTGTAAGTCCCGACCTGGGTAGATTTCCATCAGTTGAACCTGATGGTGGGGGAGTGCGGTTTTGTAAACAATAAACCAACGCTGGTTATGGCTGTGAATGGAGAGAGTGGTGGAACGTACCAACATGGATCTGGGTGTTCTGAAAATAGTTGAACAGGCAGTGCAAGACAGTATGTTGGCTGTCGTAGCGAGAGGATTCGAGTGCAGGAGCAGGGGAATGTCTTGCTGCAATTGTACAGGGCCTTAGTGAGGTCGCAACTTGGAGTATTGCGTATGCAGTTCTGGTCTCCGTATCTGAGAGAGGAGGTTCTGACCACAGAGGGAGTACAGCGGAGGCTTAGCAGATCGATTCCTGGGGTGGCAGGACTAGAACGTAGAACAGTACGACACAGTACAGGCCCTTCGGCCCACAATGTTGTGCTGAACTTTTACCCTAAACCTAAGGTCTATCTAGGACTGATGAGGAGAGGTTGAGCTGTTTAGGATTGTATTCGCTGGAGTTTGGAAGAATGACGGAAGGGTGTGAATTTCATAGAAACTACAGGACTAGACAGGGGTAGATGCAGGAAGGATGTTCCCGATGGGGTGGGGGGAGTCCAGAACCAGGGGTCATCGTTTAAGGATAGGAGTAGGATTGAGATGAGGGAGAAATGTCTTCACCCAGAGAGCGGGGAGCCCTGTGGAATTCTCTGCTGCAGAAAGCGATCATAGAGTCATAGAGCTGTACAGCATACAAACAGACCCAACTCATCCGTGCTGACCAGATGGCCTAAATTAAGCAAGTCCCATTTGCCAGCGTTTGGCCCATATCCCTCTAAACCCTTCCTGTTCATGTACCCATCAAGATGGGTTGTAATTGTACCAGCCCCCACCACTTCCTCTGGCAGCTCACTCCACACACACACCACACTCCGCGTGAAAAAGTTGCCCCTCAGGTCCATTTTAAATCTTTCCCCTCTCACCTTATGGAGCCCAAATGTGGTTCTTCTTAATGAGGGAGGTTGATACAGCTCATGGTTGAAGAGTTACAGGGGGAGCGATTAGCTGGATGATAGGTATTGGTCATTATTGAATGGCGGAGCAGGCTTGAGGGGCCGTGCAACCTACTACTGCTCTTCTCTTCGGTGTTGCTCTGCAGTTCTTTCGTGCACTGCCTTGATGGGATTTGTCCTCGTCCCTCTGGGTTGCCAGTCCAGTGAAACTAGCCCTACACCATCGCCTCCCCTCTCTGGCTGCATGCCTTTCGGGCAATGGCTCTCCCGCTGTTGATCGGCAAAGAAGCTGTACCCCCTTTGCAATAGTGGCTGTCCCGTTTTCCCCCTCCCCTTCCCTCCTCCAGGAGCCTCTAACGGTGAGGAAGCCATCGCTGTGGGAGCACAGTGCCAGGCCTTACCAGAGAATGCTGGGGCTTGTCAGTCCCTCAACGTGGTTTTGGAGGGGAAGATACAGACAATCTTCCAAGACTCCCTAGTGCCAACTGCAGATTGACTAAACATCCCACCACCTCTGCAGAGATGGATGCTATCTGTTTTCACCGTGACTTCAGGGGCTGGCATCTGTTCGGTTAAATCGCCCTCATGGGGAAGGATGTGATTAAACTAGAAAGGAAACATTTACCAGGATGTTGCCAGCCCTGGAGGGGTTTCAGTTATTTTGGCTAGGCTGAGGGGTGTGACTTTATAGCAGTTTATAAAATCTCGAGGGGCATGGATAAGGGGAATAGCCAGGTCTTTTTTTTTCTCCCTAGGGTAGGGGAGTCCAAAACTAGAGGGGCATAGGTTTAAGGTGAGAGGGGAAAGATTTAAAAGGGAAGCGAGGGGTAACTTTTTCATGCAGAGGGTGGTGCGTGTATGGAACGAGCTGCCAAAGGAAGTGGTAGATGTAGGAGCAGGAATAGGCTATCTGGCCCCTCGAGCCTTCCCTGCCATTCAATAAGATCGTGACTGGTCTTTTTCGTGGACTCAGCTCCACTTTCCCACCCGCTCACCCTTAATTCCTTTACTGTTCTAAAGTCTATTTATGTTTGCCTTAAAAAAAAAACACATTCAGCCAGATAGCCTCAATTGTTTCCCTAGGCAGGGAATTCCACAGAGCGGGGGAGGTAGGTTACAAAATTTAAAGGACATTTGGACAGGTACAAGGATAGGAAAGGTTTAGGGGATATTGGCCAAACGCTGGCATGGACGAGTTGGACCGACGGCTGTGTTTTCAAGGTCAGGATGGTGGTGCTGAAGGTTGTTGCAACGTGGTTGACTCTTACAACGCCTTCAGGGCAATTAGGGATGGGTAATAAATGCTGGCCTGTCCTCTGAATGAAGTCTTGATAGAAAGCACCAACAGAAGATTTTACGGATAGCTAAGGAATTGCGCTGTTGGTTGGCTGGCTCAGCAGGTGATCTGGAAAGTGAACTGACTTGTCGTTTATTGCAAGGGGAAACGGGATCCCAAAGCAGCGATTTTTCACAGGGTGTTGGTGAGGCCACAGCTGGAGTAGTCCATGCAGTTTTGGTCTC